TATATATATATATATATATATGAAATACGTTTTTTTAGTGGTACATTTACATTATCCGAAATTTATGGACGAAGTAATCGAGAGAAAATTGATAAATTACCAAATTTTACCATATGGGATACGCATAAACTTGCAGCTTTACAATTTACCTCTGTATGTTAATTTGAATTTTATTATTAAATTTTACTTTATTTTTTAAAATTTAAATTGAATTTTCGAAAAATTGCATTTCCTTTTTAAATCACAAGCTATTCGATGTTTTGATACTGGAATTGGAAATGATAAGATAGTTTAATTTTTGCTAGTCAATTAAATTAAATAATGATTTTTGATTAGCTGCTAATCATTAACATTATAAAACAAAGTAAAAAGGAGGAAAAAGAAAAGTTTAGAAAGTATAGAAATCATTTTTTTTTTTTATCTCCCAATACTAAACTAATTTAAACACTAAAATGCAACAATTTGCAATATCATTAAAAAATTAAAAAAAAAAAACATTAACAAAAATTCAAATCAATGCTAAAATTTGTTTATTGTTTAGTGAAATTAAATGTGGAAGAAACAAAATAATTATTTAAAATTAAATTTTGGAAAAGATTAATTTTATATTTTGTCGATCCCTAAAATTTTAAAATTAGCTTAATCAAAAAAGAGAACTAAAAAAAAACGAACGAACAAAATTACTCTTTCACTGATTCTTTTCTTTCCTTTCTCCTTCCCCTCTTCTTTCTTTTCTTTCCTCCTTCTTCTCCTTTTTCCTTTCTCTTCTTTAAATTTCTTTGCTTCCATTCTTTTTCCTGTCAAATTCAATAATTTAATTTGCATATATATCAAATTTAACAAATAAAAAAAATGAACGAAAGCTTTGGAAATGCGCTATATGTCATTGATAAAAGCGCTTTTTGGTTTATTGAATTTTTTTTTTTTAAATTTAAATTCACGAAAAATTTGTATTTTTCTCTTTTCTTGTCATATTTTTTCAATGAAAAAAAAAAAAAAAATTAAATCTTTTTTTTTTTCGCCCCATCCTTTACTTTAATTTTTTATTTTCATTCTTTTCCTCTTTCATACTCTTCCTCTCTCTCTCCCTTTCTCTCTCTCTCTCTCTTTTTTATTTTATCCTTTCTCTTAGAACATTTTTTTCTTTTATTTTCATCTTATACTTTTTTTTTTGATTGATAAATTTAATTTCCCATGCATTCCTACATGAAATACATGAAAATATCAGCATGATTGTTTGATTAAAGCAAAAAAAAAAATTTACTCAAATTTCTCATAAAAATTATCCTTTATGATTTTAATAAATCAATTCGAAAATTTGTTTTTTTTCAGTATGAAAATAAAAGTTCAAAAAAAATTTAAAAATGAAAATTTACAAAACTTTGAATAATTTAATTGCC